TGTGCTTTGGGCAGCCTGTGAGCCTGTGGGCCTGGCTTTGCACTCAGCTTCCACCCCTTCCTGTGGTGGTTTGACTTGGGGCGAGGCATTTAAGTTCCCGGCCTCGGTTTCCCCATCTGTTACACAGGGAAAACAACCCTATTTATTACAGTTTTGGGAAAGGAATGTGATTCTGCCGAGGCGTGGGGTGCGAAGGGGAGGGAACCATCAACAGTCACCGTTCCTTGGTTCCGGGCCTCGGTCCTCCACCAGCGCTTACCCCGGCCGGCCCAGGGGAGGGAGGGAGAAGGCTCCGGCCAGGGCTGGGCTGGCGGCAGAGCAGGCGGGTCTCGGTGGCTCCCAGGGGCGTCCGTCCTGGGGCCAGCGGCTGCTTCTCTTCCCCAGACCATCCTGGACCACATGCACCTCAAGTGCAAGTGCCACGGGCTGTCAGCTGCGAGGTGAAGACCTGCTGGTGGGCCCAGCCCGACTTCCGCGCCATCGGCGACTTCCTCAAGGACAAGTACGACAGCGCCTAGGAGATGGTGGTGGAGAAGCACCGCGAGTCGCGCGGCTGGGTGGAGACCCTGCGCGCCAAGTACGTGCTCTTCAAGCCGCCCACCGAGAGGGACCTGGTCTACTACGAGAACTCGCCCAACTTCTGCGAGCCCAACCCCGAGACGGGCTCCTTTGGCACCAGGGACAGGACTTGCAACGTCACCTCCCATGGCATCGATGGCTGCGACTTGCTCTGCTGCGGCCGCGGCCACAACACGAGGACGGAGAAGCGGAAGGAGAAATGCCACTGCATCTTCCACTGGTGCTGCTACGTGAGCTGCCAGGAGTGCATCCGCATCTACGACGTGCTCACTAGCAAGTAGGGAGCCAGGTAGGGTGGCGGGGAGGAGAGGCCGGGGGTGGGGGGCTTGCTGCTGGGACCTGGCTTTGCCCATCTGCTCTTCCTGCCGACCCTGTTCTAGTTCTCAGCTACCGGAGACACACGTCCCCAAGTGTGTACTCTTGAGCTGCGAGCAGTTGATTAAAATTCTTGTACCTGTTAGTTAATTATGAGCCAGGCCACATTTGTGTCCAGCCATTGGCTCTCATTGCTGAGCATCTGTGGAGACAGAGGAGGGACAAGGGTTGGAAGCTGGAAACCTGACCTCTGGGGCCAACTTTGCCCCTAACTTCCTGTGCCGTCACTTCTCTGGGCCTGTTTTCTTGCTGTAAAACAAGGACGTTAAAATACTTGAAACAGTAGGCCGAAAAGTCTCCTCTGCAAACCCTGGGGCAGAGTCATTCTGCACCCACCTTGAACTTCGAGGGCAAGTTTTTGCACAAGCGTAAACCCTACCCACCTCAGGGAGGTGGGTGGGGGGAAGCTGTGTATAAGCCCATATCCTGACACATCTGAAGCTTGGGTGGAGTGGGTGCACTCTCACGGAGTTTATGGATGGGGATGGGGAGGAGGAAGGAGTCAAGTTCAGAGTGACGGTGGTGAGTAATCAAAGGATCAAAGGCTGGTGGATTATGCTGCCAAGCTTCCCAGAGGTGGCCGGCGTGGGAGACGGTGTGCCTGGCTCTCAGATCCATAGTCCCTAGATAGATCCTGATGGATGCAGGGTGGTCCTAGAGTCCTGGAGGTGGAACGTTTGAGGCCAGTATGCCCTTTCTCCCTTTTCTCTGCCCCGAGAAGGAGCCTAATATACAAAGGCATGAACCCTGGGGTGGCTCCTGCCACTTGCCAAGTGTGGGACCCAGACAAGATTGTCTTTACACGCCTGTTTCCTCATATGTCATCCTCCCTAGAGGTGCTGAGGAGCACAGGAAGAACACTGGGAACAGTGATTGGTTCACGGCAGAGGACTTGCCTGCCTGGGTCATTGCTGGCTGGGGCTGTGTCAAGGAAGGGCACTCCACTGGGCCCTGCAGTTCTACACAGGGCTCCTCGGAGCTGGGGTGCTGGCTTGTGCTGATGGGACTGTTGGTGGGGGGGAACCCAACATCATGGGGAGAGTTCTGGTTGAGGGGTGACTTAACCAGTCCATCTTGGAAGCCCCTCTGTGTAGCTGAAGTCAGGGAGTCTAGAAGGGTGGTTCCCATTCCACTGCTTAGCAGCCGTGGAACCTTCCACCCCAGTTTCCTCATCTAGGCAGAGGTGGTGATAATGGGAGCCTGGCAGAAGTTTTATGAGGCTCAAATGAGCTAAGAGGTGTGACCACTTACTAATAGAAAGTGTGCTAAAAGCCATCAGGGAGCTGTGACATGAGAGTGGTCACTGAGCAGTGAAATGGTGTCATCACTTGGGCAAGTCCAAATGATAGAAGAAAAGTCAGCAAACGAGAGAGAACTCACAGGCTCACTGTGGCCTGCCAAGGTGGAAGGAATGTTTGAAAGCACAGTGGCTACCCTCCTCTGATGTCCACTATGGCCAGAGGCAGCACAGTGTCCCCACTGCCCATCAGGACATGGCTCTGGCATTCACAGAGGGGGCTGCACCTGCCAGGTTCCCCCCAGTCTCTATACAAGACAGGTTCTGCATTAGGGTAGTTACCTGCTACAGGCTTCCTGTCTTCCAGGCCCCAGCTAGAAGGCGAGGGAGATAGGATCTGGATCCAGTCAGCGGATGCTAAAAGCCTTACTGTTCCTGTAGACCACACTCCCTTCCTCAGTGGTGGACCCCAAGTATAGGAGGGAGCAGGGCAAAGCCACTCAAGGTCCCCATTACCTCCAAGTACAAGAAAAATGTTGAGCTCTCCTGTCATCAGCCTGTGATCTTTGCATCCTTATGGGTGGTCTCCCTGGGAAAGCAATTATGTTTCTAATTCTTCCTCTTTATTTCCCAAAGGGCACTGGGCAGATTCACTGAAGTCCTTCCTGAGCAGGACCTAAGCCAGCTCAGCCCTCAGCATCCGACAGCAAGGAACCCGGACTGTTGCCAGATGCACGTGTGGTAAATTACCTGGACCCAACCGCCCGCTGACTGGGAGGCCTCCCTCCCTCTCTCATCCTAAGTTTCTCACCCAACTCTGGATGGTGCATGGTGTTTAAAGAAGGGGCTTTCTTTTTAGTTCTCTGGGGTCTGATAGGAACAGATCCGAGGCTTATCTTTACACATGTTTAAGAAAATAAAAATGGAAAAAAATTTCTACTCCAATGGAACAGGCTGGGCTATTGTGAGCTCTTTGCCTGGTGATAAAGACATCAGCGTGGGCAAGACTGTTTGCAGACTGCTTCTCATGGGGACGTCCCAGGATGCTGGGAGGTGGGAGTTATGGAGTAGGACAGACCTCTGCAGCCTCCTTTCCTCTGCCTACTCCCATTCAAATCTGATACACTTTCACGAGCTGATAAAAGCCATAGGTCTAGTGAGGATGAAGTGGTAGGGAGGCCCGAGGCAATTGTGAGAGCGGGGTTTCGTTTTAAAGAACTAGTTCTAGCCCTGGTCGGCTGTTTGAAGAGCAGCAGTGTGTTCTCAGCCTCGTTTTCTCTGCAACCCTGTCCTGCACCAGAGGCTCTTGTGAACTGCAGTCAGATCTCAAAATCTTTTCTACCTTTCTGCAGTTTCCACCATGAATGCAGTACCTTTTTTTTTTTTTTT